GAGGGCAGTGTCACTGGCCCTCATATGTGGGATCCGAACCGGGGCCCTCTGGTGTCCCAAGCCAGTTCTTAACCATCGCGCCACTCGGCTGGCCCTACGAAGAATATTCTTGAAGCAGAGTACATAGTGGATTTGAGGGGAATGAGACTAAGATTAGGAAGTCTCTTTGAGGGCTATTGCTTATTCAGGTCTCTGATCTCATGTCTAAAAAGACACCCCACCCCAAGTAACTCTGTTCCTTTTCATAGTGTAATCATTATATGAAATGATATATATTTTTAATTCTGTTTCTCAATCCCCATAAGCTCCAGGGATGTTAAGAACCTCCAACTCCTAAGTTTTTAGCTGAAACAGCTGAAGGATATTATTAACTCAGCTGTGGCATACTAGAAGAAGAGGAGCTACAGGTTTTGGGTGAACATGTTGGATGTGAGATGATGTGGGGCAGTCTATTTGTGAGGGGATGGAACTTAAGTGAGAGGCTGGTCCTAGAGATGTAGATTGGTGAGTGGTTCTGTGATGACTACATTCATGAGTGTGGATCAGATTTTTCAGAGAGAACAGCTAGTTAGAAAGAGAAGGTGACCAAGGATGCAACCCTCGGCAAACATCAGCATTTAACTGGCAGGTCAAATAAGGAAGAATCTACAGAGGAAACCAAGAAGATGTGACTAGAGAGGGAGGAGGAGAAACAATACAGGGACATCATGGGAGCTTAGGAAAGGGACAGTGTTAGGACAGAGGAAGGGATTGTCTGGAGCCACTACTGCAGAAAGATCAAGTCAAATTGAAAATGATCCTATAACTATGGGAACATTGGTGACCATAGTGAGTATAATTTTTGTGAATGCTTGGGAATCTAAATTGCACTTGAGTTGTATTTGGTTGAGGTCCTGGGGGTTGATGAGGAAACACTGAGGGAGCTTAGATAGGTGGGGGGCATCATGGGTCAAGAGAGATGTTTTTGGTTTTGCTTCAAAGATGGGGAGATTAAGTGCATTTAGAGGAGGGAGTTGAAGGGACATTTGATTAAATTAAGTGATGAAATAGATAGGAAATCATTGATAAAGAGGGTATAGGTGGAGATGTCAACCTTAGACTTGGAGAGGGAAAGCTTGTCCTCTGAACCAAGACAGAGATGCATGATGGCCATAGGTGTAGCTGGTGGAGGAGTGAGAAGTTGAGGAAGGTCATTCCTTGCATTCTTATTTCCTTTGAGAAATAGGAGGCCATTGGTGGTCTAGGGCTTAAGAGATGTGAAAATTTGGATGTGTCATTTGTGGAGAGTGGAGAGGAAACTAATGAATGACAACAGAGAGACTTTTATCATTTTAAGTGACTTTGAGAGCATGGACATGGTTGTATTCCATAGATATGGATTGGTACCAATTCACAAGACTACATGACTTTTCCCCAACCCTTCTCAATGTTTCTGACATTGAAAGTGGAGACAGAAGAAAGTTAGATTGATCCCAGATTAGGTGTTGAAAAGGTAGATAGTTAACTTGAAAGTAAAGAGGTAGAGAGTAACGTCATGCAAAAAAGTGGAGTAGGAAGCTGTAGGGTAGGGTTGGTCCCTCCACAAAAACAACCATTGAGTTGGAAAGAGAGATTGGAATAAACTGTTTCAGATATCTAAAAGTGCTAAATGAAGGTAGAGGCTTCTACTCTTCATTAAGACATGGCATGTGCCAACTGGCCACTATCCTCCATTCCCAGGCCCTGATGTGGGTGTGGGGAAAGCAGCCCACATTCCTGGAGCAAGTGGCTAGTGTCAGGGAAGGCAGTGGGGACCTTATCCTACAAAATTTTGGCTTATATGCTTTGGTAGATTTTACAGTGCTCTGCAGGACTGGTACAGATACTTACCTAAGGTCTGTCTCTCTCGGCATTCTTAGCTGCAGTGTCTTCCTAGACAGCATCTGTTGGAAGATTTAAAGGGCCATTACCTTACTGGGTTGTTTTGGAGCCAGACATTTAATAAAATCTTTGTCAGGAGAGGCCCACACCAAGAAACATCATAATCAAAATCGCAAAGATTAAAGATAAAGAGAGAATCTTAAAAGCAGCAAGAGAAAAACAGTTAGTTACCTAAAAGGGCGATCCGATAAGACTATCAGCTGATTTCTGAACAGAAACTTTGCAGGCTAGCAGGATTGGCAGGAAATATTCAAAATGATGAAAAGCAAGGACTACAACCAAGACTACTCTACCCAACAAAACTGTCATTTAGAATCAAAGGACAAATAAAGAGCTTCCAGACAAGAAAAAGCTAAAGGAGTTCATTACACCAAACAAGAAATGTTAGAGGGACTTCTTGAAGAAAAAGAAGGGGAGGGGAAAAGACACATATGATAATAAAATGGCAATAACTATATACCTATCAATCATTTTAAATGTAAATTGATTAAATGCTCCAATCAAAATACATAGGGTAGCTGAATGATTAAGAAAAAAAGACCCATACATATGCAGTCTATAAAGATGTATTTCAGATCTAAAGAAATACACAGATTGAAAATAAAGGGGTGGAGGGGCCGGCCGAGTGGCTCAGTTGGTTAAGAATTAGCTTAAGAGTGCAATCTCTGAGCAACAGGGCTGCCAGTTCGATTCCCACATGGGCCAGTGACGCTGAGCCCGAGCTGAGCTGCTGCTGAGTTGCCAACAGGTGGCAGGATGGCTCAGCTGGTGAGAGCACATGCTCCTAACAACAAGACTGCCTGTTTGATGGTGAGCTATACCCGCCCACAACTAAGAATGAACTCAGCACCTTGAGCTGAGCTGCCCCCCAGATGGCTCAGTGGATAGAGCATGCATCCTTAACAACAAAGCTGCTCATTCGACTCCCACATGGGATGGTGGCTACGCCCACCATCTAAGACTGAACACAGCACCTTGAGCTTAGAGGCCACGAGCTGCCGATGGGAGGCCAGATGGCAACTGGTACCCTCCACAACTAAGATTGAAGAACAACAACTTGGCTGGTCCCCTTCCCCAATTCCCAACACTGTTCTACTCCCCCAGCTCCCCAATTTAAAAAAAAAGTAAAAGGATGGAAAAAATATATTTTATGCAAATGGAAACAAAATTAAATCTGGGGTAGCAATATTTATATCAGACAAAATAGACTGTAAAACAAAGGCTATAACAAGAAACAAAGAAGGGCATTTAATAGTGATAAAGGGATCAATCCAACAAGAGGATATAACTCTTATAAATATTTACACAGCCAATGGAGGAGCACCTAAATACATATATAAAGCAAATATTGATGGACATAAAGGGAGAGATGTATAGTAACACAGTCATAGTAGGAGACTTTAGCACCCCATTGACATCAATGGATAGATCATCCAGACAGAAAAAAAACAATAAGGAAACAGTGGCTTTAAATAGCACGTTAGACCAGATGGATTTAATTGATATTTTTAGAGCATTCCACCCCAAAGTATCAGACTATACACTCTTTTCAAGCACCCATGAAAAAAATTTCTAGGTAGACCACATGTTAGGCCACAAAATAAGTCTTGATAAATTTAAGTAGATTGAAATCATACCAAGTATCTTCTCCAATCTCAATGGTATGAAAGTAGAAATCAACCACAAGAAGAAAACTGAAAATCATGAAACACATGGAGGCCAAATAAAATGCTACTAAACAATGAATGAGTTAATAATGAGATCAAGAAAGAAATCAAAAGATAACTTCAGACAAATGAAAAATGGAAACACAACAATGCAAAATCTATGGAACATGCCCAATGCAGTTTTAAGAGGAAAATACTTACCACTATACACCTACCTCAAGAAATAAGAAAAACCTGAAGTAAATACTGTAACCTTCACAGCCCAAAGTGAATAGAAGGAAGGAAATAATAAAGATTTGAGTGGAAATAAATGAAATAGAGTCTAAGAAAAATACAAAAGATCAATGGCACCATGAGCTGGTTCTTTGAAAAGATAAACAAATTTGATAAACCATTAACCAGACTCATCAAG